TAATCATCTCTTTGTTCATATTGGGAGTGCGCTATATAATCCTTGTTAGTGACAACTGAAACACATCTTAGTTTGGGCAAAGTTTTATCACCCAATGGTCTCCACAAAAACTTTCTTCTCCAGATATATGTTAACCAAGCTACCTTAAATGATCATGCATTTTGCACCAACTATCACTAATAAGGAAAAGCCTAGCAGTAGCTCAGGTCAAATGCCTAGTAGTAGCACAGGGAGCGGCGCTACAAGTAAAGCGCTACAACTAACTTGTAGCAGTAGCGCGTTTTGACCCGCGCTACTGCTACACCTACTTAGCAGAGCGTTGTCCAAAAAAGCGCTAGCGTTCGTCCATCCAGCGCTACTGCTAAATAGCTGTAGCGCTTGTGTACGGTGCTACTGCTTCCTGCTAAAGAGCGCTACTGCTATGTATTCACATATTTTTTTGCTACGTATTTGTGGTGTTTTTGTACAAGTTTTATACAGTATTCTAATCATATCATAAACATGAAATATGCTCATCATTTCATACACATAATAGTCTCATCATATCATCCAACACAAATCATGTCGTCTCATCATAATCACGATATAGCGATACAAGTTAAGTGACATGTCCCGAATACAAGCAACTACATGGTCATCACATACACATGTTTCATCATCTATATCTAAATAAAGATATACTAGAAGAGAAGAGTGATCACTATGAGCAAGAGCAGGATAATGTAGTATTTTTTAGGCGCCGGTTCCGATCACTCTCTCGCACTAGCGTCAACCACAAGTAACTATCTTCCGCTTCGGCTCTGCTATCGAACCCTCTGTGGCTGCCGCCCGAAAACCGGTGCAGCTGGGCCTGACATTCAGGCCACTCGTCGTACACCCCCGAAACCTTCCCTAGGTACACGGCGTAGCACTTCTTCGCCATCGATGATCTATGTGCCTGCATCGTCACATGAGTCGATAATATGCAACATATATAGTTGAGCAACAGAAAGAGACAGAGTTAGCAAAAATAGAAGCAACATATCATAAGCATAAATAACAAAATTCATCGTACCCAAAAGGCCCTAACTACAGTGATCTTCGCTAGTTGAGGAGGATGCTTTAGTTACATCACAAAGTTTCGTCGTGCATAACTCAAAGTTTCGCTATAGAGAAAGTAGTGACTAAATGGACACGTTGTCATATATCGTCAGTCACTCCAACATGTCGTGCCATCCATCCAAATCAGGGAGGAAGTCCCCGAGCGAAGTGAAAGGCTTCAAGCCGAGACGCTGAGCAGCTACGCGTGTTCAGATGTCTTCCCGCGACATTTGCCCTTCTTCGTAGAACATCCCTATTTTTTCGAGGACCTCTTGCATGATGATTTAGGCAAGTTCATGCTGGATGTGATAGAACTCACCTCGGAGTTGATGATCCGGGATATTTCCTAGTTTCTTTGCCCATTGCAGAATATCGGCATCGCTGGATCTAGGTGACATGCGAAGGTTCTGGCAATCCCGTCTGTACTCCAGCTGTGGTGGAGGACATAGAATCCATCACTAAGAGTACCACTCGGTTGCTGGATGCAGAAGAAGTCGGTCTTATGGCCGAAGCAGGGCACATGGTTCCTTGTCTTCTTGAGTGTGATCTCTCTTCGGTTTGGGCGCCTTATCCTCTTCGGTTTTGGTTCTATCTCGGCTAATTTGCCAACATCGGCGCCGGTCTCGGTGCCGGTGTCGGTCTCGGCGCTAGTTTCGGTCTCGGTGCCGGTGTCGGTCTCAGTCTCGGATGTGACAAAGGGGTACTGCAACCATTGTTGCTCGTCCAGATAGTTTAAATAGTTGTCTACCGCCTCGTTGATGTTGTAATTATCAGAACCCCCTCCCTCATTGTTGTTAGCCATGTTTCCTATGATTAAATCTAGTCAATTAATTCTAGACCTAATAAAATGAATAATGACATAAAAAGGCCTATGTTTTACCGGAATGTTGACTCATTCCCGTTGCGACAAATCCTGGGCACTCGATATGTCCTAGTTTCCAGCATAAGTCATGCCGAAATTCACGAAAAATTTCGGCATGACCTTTGCTAAAAAATGGACAAATCGAGCGCCTCCAGAATAGAAATGAATCAACATTCCGGCAAAACATAGGTCACTCGGAATCATTCCCTGCAAACAACAAAAGGCCACTTGGGCACAATCGAACCACATCAATGTTGCATATAACAGGACCACTTAAGAACATGTACATGAGCAACTACAACAGTAGATATACATGAGCAAACACTATTGAAGAATTTGCATATAACAAGACCACTTAAAATTTGCATCTCCTAGTGTTTGACACTTCAAGAAAATCTACACAAATCTCATCCTCTCTCAAACTCAATTCAAAAACCAAATATAGATGGATGAATCCTAGAAACCTAGAACCTTTATATATTTTTGTCCCAAATTACTGTCCTAATAAAAATTATGAACCAACTCAATTTCTGTCTTGAATTTCAAATTATGGACCCTAGAACTCAATTCAAATTATGTCCTAAATTTCTTTCCTCATAAAAATTCATTAAAAATTAACAACCTACTGGACTTGTAGCACTAATAGAAATTTATAATTTTTATATTGAATTTTTCTCTAAACTAAACCCTGCTGTCCTAGTTAGCATCTAGGTAAACCCTACTGCCCTAACATTAACCCTAGTGCCCTAATTAACATCTAGTTAAATCCTACTGCCCTAACATTTTTAGTTAAACCCTGCTGCCCTAACCCTACTACCCTAGTTACTTAAGCATCTACAAGTACTAGCTAATTTGATGAACCCTACTAATTAGATGAACCCTAGCTACTTAAGCATCTATAACTACTTAAGCACCCTAGCTAGGCAGAGGTAGGGAAGGAGGAGGTGTAGGCATGCTCACCTCAGGCGTCGGCGGAGTCAGGGAGCAGGAGAAGGCAGAGCGGCCGAGGGAGGGGGCGCACGGTGTCGAGGTCGGGGTCGGGGCTCGGGCGTGCGGCGAGAGAGGGCACCGGACGATGACGGAGGGCAGTAGATGGCGTGCGGAGGGTGACGGGAGGGCGCGCAGAGGCCGACGGCGATGTAGGGCGATGGCGGTGACAACAGAGTGGGGATTTTGGGGAGAAGTGGGTCAGGGGGAGAAAGCCCACGTGGGGCTTATGTCAAACGCAGCGGTAGCGCCGGTCGAAAAACAACGCTATAGCTAAGTTAGCTATAGCGTTGGTACATAAAACGCGCTACTGCTATAGGAAGTAGCTATTTATTTTCCTTTTCCTTTTATTTTTTCCTTTCCTTTTTTTTCTTTTCTTTTTTCTTTTCTTTTTACTTTTCTTTTTTATTTAAGGAACTTACTATAGCGCACGTCTACAAAATGCGCTACTGCTAGATTAGCTATGGCGCTTGTTGGAAACAAGCGCTACTGCTATGCCTTTCTCCTTTATTTTTCTTTATCTTTTATTTTTCTTTACAATTTCTTTTTTCCTTTCTCCTTTTTCTATTTCTTTCATTTCCATTTGCTTTTCTATTTCTTTTTATTTTTATTTTCTTTTCCTTAGCAGTAGCGCTCTTCCCAAAAAACGCGCTGCTACAACGAACTTAGCGGTAGCGCGTTTTCCCCAAGCTCGCTACTACTATTTCTAGCCTGCCGGCAACAATGTGGGAATTATAGTAGTAGCGCTTTTTCCTGTAGATGCGCTACTGCTACCATCATAGCTGTAGCGCCCTTTGTGTCCCCACGCTACTGGTAAGTAGCAGTAGCGCTTAGTTTTAACAGGCGCTACTGATAATCCTCTGTGTATAATGTTTTCCCTAGTAGTGTATGGTCAGCAAGTAAACGGTATGATTGTAGGATATTCCTATATATGAACTCAGAGTAATATTCTTTAGTTGTATCTTCTTGAAGTTGTTCATCATGTTCCTCCACAAAAGCTTCAGCAGCCCAAAGCTTGATTAGATCATCATGACATATGCGCCAATCTTCTGGATATGAGGCTAAATAGAGGAAACGTTGCTTCAAATGCCGTGGTAGATCATCATAACTCGAATACAAAGCACATCTGAGCTCAGTTGGAAGATCACCCATAGACCAAGCACTTCTCTTTAAAACCTTTCTCCATTCCTTCTCAGATTTCCATTTAGTTACAAGACACTAGCAGTAACCTTGATTGTGAGAGGTAGTCCACCACATCTATCTCTCGAAGGTTTTCAATTTTCTTTCCTTATCAATGTTCACACTCTTCCAAAGCAGCTCCCATCATGTATCTGCTGGCATCTCGATTGCATCAATGTTCAGCTCCGTGCACATTGTCCACCCCAATTGCATGCAAAATTGTATCATGTCGAGTGGTTACTAGAATTACTCCCGTTGCAGCAGCATGTAATGGAGTTCTCAGCAAATAGTCCACACCGCATTGCTCAAGTGAGAGAGATCAGAGTACCCCTGAGAAACACAAACCCATGCTTGGTTGCTGAAGGCTCCTTTGACTTTTGGTTGTTATATATCGTGTCATCTAACACTAATGTGGCAACAATATTTGTGTGAAGTGTGAATGATCAAGTGCATTCTGAATTTTAGCGCGTAGTACTTTTTTGACGAATCGAAGGGCGTGATAGTCATAGGAATTGATGATGATTGAAATGTTTTGTAATATAACTCTTTTATATCAGTAAAAATTACGTGGTTGGACATCAAGGACCATGATAGGTGGAGCCAGGCTGGCCTCCTCCTAACCTGAATGGTTACTCCACTGTGTTATTCACAACTCTTTCTAGTACAATAGACTCACAAATATTGCAGCCACCTAAGCAACACTTCAGTTCGAATCGAGAAAGTAAATCATAAAGCATACAACTATGTATACCAGGGGCCCAGCCAAAACAAATGCTTAATTGGCTCACCTCTGCCAAATCATTGGGTCAAATCAAATAAAGATTCTAATGCTTTAATGCTAGCTCCACCCATGATGTACACTAAAATTCATGCACATTAAGTTGTGCAAAAACTAACAACCCTTGAGCGTTGTCATACTCATTTCATTTGTGGAACTCATTTTCTCCCTGGCTTCTTCACCTTCATAATTACCTAGAGCAAAGTATACAGGATGCTTTGGAGGTGCAAGCACTGCACTTTCATTCTCCAACATAAACATAACTGAGGACATTAGTGGTCTATCATTTGGATGGTCTTGGACACACAAGAGTCCCACATGAATGCACTGTGCAACCTCATGAAGTGGGCAGCTCGCAACAATGAAGGAGTCCACCAGTTCGGTATATTTTCCATCTTCCCATAATCTCCAGGCCTGACCAATAGCATGAAGTCATGATCAAGTTAATAAATATATTGTTTGGGTGAGAGATTAATTAGAAAATTCCCATATTCACTACCAGGATTGAGGTGATTTCCGAGTGCATCCTGTCGTACACTTGGCAAAGACCCTCCTAAACCAAGTGTGGCTAAAAAGCACTCAGCAGAAAACGAACACTTGGCAAAGACTTGCCTCTGCCATGTGTCGGCTAGAAAATGCTCGGCAAAGAGCCCAATGGTGAATATGCAATACTTACATAAGATATAAGGCTACAAAATTCCATGTTGAGCTGAGGTGAGCTAATCTTCATGCCACTAACAATCTCCAAGAGAAGAACCCCAAAGCTATAAGTGTCTGATTTCACAGAAAATGCACCTCCCATTGCATATTCAGGGGACATATAACCACTATTTAAAACATTCAACAAGTTAGCAAGGAATGTACAAAACACACTATACTAAACCATATAAACTAGAGCGCTAAGAGTTTATTAGTACACCAGTTACTTACTATGTTCCGACGACCCGGGTTGTGTTAGCATGATTCTGGTTTGCACCAAAGATTCTTGCCATACCAAAATCTGAAATTTTAGGAGTCATTTCTATATCCAACAAAATGTTGCTTGCTTTGAGATCTCTCTGAATTACTGTTAATCTTGAATCTTGGTGGAGATAAAGAAGGCCTCTTGCTATTCCTTTAATTATTTTGAACCGTGTCAACCAATCGAGCACATGTTTTCGTGCATGATCTTTCATGATCAATATGGAAGGAAACAGATCATCATGAGTATCATTTTTGTTAATGTAAAAAAAGTATGTAATCAACAAACAAGCACATACCAAAAAGAAAGGCATCCAAACTTTTATTAGCTAAGTACTCGTAGATCAATAACTTCTCATCTTCATGAATGCAGCAGCCGAGAAGTCTGACTAGGTTCTTATGCTGCAGTTTTTCAATGAGAACTACTTCATTTTTGAACTCCACCATACCTTGTCCAGAACTCTTACTAAGCCTCTTGACAGCAACTTCATTTCCACCTTCCAGTGTGCCCTACATGAGAAAACTTTTTCAACCGAGAAAAAAATTGAAACAAACTTTTTCAAACACTATGTGTAATATTTTAACATGAAGAAATGTGTTTTCCAATTGAGCCCAAGATACTTTTCAACTCTAAAATTATTTCCTTTGTACCTCGAATGACAAGGCTAGTACATCATGTTACCTTGTAAACTTTGCCAAAACCTCCACGTCCAAGCAAGCTGGAATCCGAGAAAAAAATTTGTTGCTGAAAGTATGTCTTCATAGCTAAAACATGGAAATTCCGTATTATTGCCTTCTAGTGAGTTGGATGTGCTAATGTATCCTAGCATCAGTTTCTTCTGGTTTTTCTTCTGTCCCCATTTTCCTGTTGATTAGGACATCCACCCTTTTTCTTAATTCTTGTACTAATATAATATGTCGAAAACAAGAGGATATTTTTTTACTCTACCTCTATATTTGTTCATCCAGATGAAGACTATGCATGCCAGTAGTAGCAGACATGATATAATGGGGAGTACAATCTCTACTGGACTGGTTTTCTTGTTGACTGCAGAAATGCGTCCAATCAGAATTCAGAATTAACTTCCATAAGTATCATGACGGATTAGTGAAGCTAATTAGGCACCTAGACTAACGTCATTTCTTAACCAGAACTACCAGGGCAGGTGGTAAATCAAAGATTTGGTCATCTTAAAAAAAGGTAGTTGATTTTGCAAATATGCATTGGCCATTATTGTTAATTCAAGACAAAAAAAATAGTAACTAGCTATGGCCTTCTGGGAGAGAAAAAATTGCGGGTGAAAATTCTCCTTCTGGGAAAGTTAAGACATGGAATCTGGAAAGAATTGTAGTTGAATTTGAAAGTGAAGGCCAGAAGTAATTGAACAACCTAGCAATTGTAAAATGATGTTAAAAGGAATGTCGTGTATATTTAAACAAGAGCACCTTCCTTTTATGTACTCCTTCCAGTTCTAAACAACGTGCACTAGTAGAAAATAGGGCTATGGTCCAGGCCGGCTCAGCCCATTAGTCCCGGTTCAGTGTAGAACCGGGACCAATGTGGGCATTGGTCCCGGTTCGTGAGCCTAGGGGGCCGGCCGGGCCACGTGGGCCATTGGTCCCGGTTCGTCTGGACCTTTTGGTCCCGATTGGTGGGACGAACCGGGACCAATGGGCCTCGCTCCTGGCCCACCACCATTGGTCCCGTTGGTGGCTTGAACCGGGACCAAAGGCTCCCCTTTAGTCCCGGTTCATGCCACCAACTGGGACCAATGAGGTGCCTATATATACCCCCTCGCGCAAGAGCTGAGCACAGTGCTCTGTTTTTTCAGGCCGAGGGGGAGAGGGCTTTGTGGTGCTCTAGCTCACCTCCTATGCACATGAGGTGTTCGATGGAATGCCCGAGCCACACTACTTAAGCTTTCTCTTCTCGAAGCTCGATCTCCAAGCTCCATTTTCCTCGAGATTTGTCTAGATTTAGCGGTCCGTCACGCCCCGTCCCTGTCTTCACCGCCGTCGATCACCCGTGCCGATCTCATCACCGACACCACCGTGGTGAGCCTCTTGTTCTTATCTTCTTTCTGAAAGGAAAAATATTCTTACTTGTATGTTTAGATAGATACTTGTATCATTTTCTTACATTTATTATTGCATCTTATATAGTGCGATGGTTTTGGTATCCGCCCCCGTCGGCCCTCATCCTGTCTATGATTCGGATTTGGTATGTATATTATCTTTATAACTATTGGTTCATTTATTGTTTATGAAAATTATGCTGACCAACGTGACATAGATTTTATTTATCTAGGATGTATGTGAATCGGAAATGCCAACTGACCCTATTGTCGAGAGGTTAAATTTAGTTGAAGAAGAAAACAATTTGTTGAAGGAAAAAATAAAAAAAATTGAGGAGGAGAAGATGATATTGGAGTTGCATGTTGCGGATGTCGTCGATGATCACAAGATCAAGATGGATGCAATGCGCTTGAAGATTAGAAAGATTAGAAAATATGCCATTCATACCGAGGCTTGGTATCATTATGCCGTTGGATCAATTGTTACCTTGGTTGCGATTATGATCGCATTTGTTTTCGCATTGAAATGTTTTACATAGTTTCAATGTATGGTTTAATTAATTAGATGCTCTGGAGAGCTATATGTTGTTAGATGAGAACTATGTATGCACTTTGGTTTTAATGTGATGATGAACTTCTATTAATTTGGACACTTAATTATATATAATGCACGTAGATGAACCGGCAATGGATGTACGGTGACAGACACACCCGCGAGTACATTAAGGGCGTGCATGAGTTTCTCGATGCGGCTGAGGCAAACAAGCAGAATGGTTTTATGTGTTGTCCATGCACTGAATGTGGGAATACGAGGTCTTACTCTAACCGGAAAATCCTTCACTCCCACCTGCTTTACAAGGGTTTCATGCCACACTATAATGTTTGGACGAGGCACGGAGAAATAGGGGTTATGATTTAAGACGGCGAAGAAGAAGAGTACGATGACAACTATGTGCCCCCTGAATACGATGATGCTGCAACGGGGGGAGCTGGTGAAGATCAAGAGGAACCAGACGATGTGCCCAATGATGCTGCCACGGGTGAAGCTGCTGAAGATCAAGAGGAACCAGACGATGTGCCCGATGATGATGATCTCCGCCGGGTCATTGTCGATGCAAGGACGCAATGCATTAGTCAAAAGGAGAAGCTGAAGTTTGATCGCATGTTAGAGGATCACAAAAAAGGGTTATACCCCAATTGCGAAGATGGCAACACAAAGCTCGGTACCATACTGGAATTGCTGAAGTGGAAGGCAGAGAATGCTGTGGCTGACAAAGGATTTGAGAAGCTACTGAAAATATTAAAGAAGAAGCTTCCAAAGGATAACGAATTGGCCGATAGTACATACGCAGCAAAGAAGGTCGTATGCCCTCTAGGATTGGAGGTGGAGAAGATACATGCATGCCCTAATGACTGCATCCTCTATCGCGGTGCATACAAGGATCTGAACGCATGCCCGGTATGCGGTGCGTTGCGGTATAAGATCAGACGAGATGACCCTGGTGATGTTGACGGTGAGCCCCTCAGGAAGAGGGTTCCTGCGAAGGTGATGTGGTATGCTCCTATAATACCACGGTTGAAACGTCTGTTCAGAAACGAAGAGCATGCCAAGTTGATGCGATGGCACAGTGAGAACCGAAAGAAAGATGGGAAGTTGAGAGCACCCGTTGACGGGTCGCAATGGAGAAAAATCGAGAGAAAGTACTGGGATGAGTTTGCAAAGGACCCAAGGAATGTATGGTTTGCTTTAAGCGCGGATGGCATTAATCCTTTCGGGGAGCAGAGCAGCAATCACAACACCTGGCCCGTGACTCTATGTATGTATAACCTTCCTCCTTGGATGTGCATGAAGCGGAAGTTCATTATGATGCCAGTTCTCATCCAAGGCCCTAAGCAACCCGGCAACGAAATTGATGTGTACCTAAGGCCATTAGTTGAAGAACTTTTACAGTTGTGGAATGGAAACGGTGTACGTACGTGGGATGAGCACAGACAGGAGGAATTTAACCTTAAGGCGTTGCTGTTCGTGACCATCAATCATTGGCCCGCTCTCAGTAACCTTTCAGGACAGACAAACAAAGGATACCACGCATGCACGCACTGTTTAGATGACACTGAAAGTATATGCCTGGACAAATGTAGGAAGAATGTGTACCTGGGCCATCGTCGATTTCTTCCGACCAACCATCAATGTCGAAAGAAAGGCAAGCATTTCAAAGGCGAGGCAGATCACCGGAAGAAGCCCGCCATGCACACCGGTGATCACGTGCTTGCTATGGTCAATGATTTACACTACGTAATCTTTGGAAAGGGTCCCGGTGGACTAGCTGTTCCGAATGACGCTGAGGGACATGCACCCATGTGGAAGAAGAAATCTATATTTTGGGACCTACCCTACTGGAAAGACCTAGAGGTCCGCTCCTCAATCGACGTGATGCACGTGATGAAGAACCTTTGCGTGAACCTGCTAGGCTTCTTGGGCGTGTATGGGAAGACAAAAGATACACCTGAGGCACGAGAGGACCTGCAACGTTTGCACGAAAAAGACGGCATGCCTCCAAAGCAGTATAAAGGTCCTGCCAGCTACGCTCTTACCAAAGAAGAGAAGGAAATCTTCTTTGAATGCCTGCTCAGTATTAAGGTACCGTCTGGCTTCTCGTTGAATATAAAGGGAATAATAAACATGGCAGAGAAAAAGTTCCAGAACCTAAAGTCTCATGACTGCCACGTGATTATGACGCAACTGCTTTCGGTTGCATTGAGGGGGCTTCTACCGGAAAATGTCCGATTAGCCATTGTGAAGCTATGTGCATTCCTCAATGCAATCTCTCAGAAGGTGATCGATCCAGAAATCGTACCAAGGCTAAGGAGTGATGTGGCGCAATGTCTTGTCAGTTTCGAGCCGGTGTTCCCACCATCCTTCTTCAATATCATGACGCACGTCCTAGTTCATCTAGTCGACGAGATTGTCATCCTGGGGCCCGTATTTCTACACAATATGTTCCCCTTTGAGAGGTTCATGGGAGTCCTAAAGAAATATGTCCATAACCGCTCTAGGCCAGAAGGAAGCATCTCCATGGGCCATCAAACAGAGGATGTTATCGGGTTTTGTGTTGACTTCATTCCTGGCCTTAACAAGATAGGTCTCCCTAAATCGCGGTATGAGGGGAGACTGACTGGAAAAGGCACTCTTGGAAGAGACTCAATAATATGCAGGGACGGATATTCTTGGTCTCAAGCACACTACACAGTTCTACAGGACTCTACCTTGGTGACCCCGTATGTCGATGAACACAAGAACAGTCTGCGCTCCAAACACCCGGAGCAGTGCGACGACTGGATTACATGTGAACACATCAGGACTTTCCGCAGTTGGTTGGAAACACATCTCAGAGGTGACAACACTGTTCGCTTCCTTGTCTTTGACTGTATTGACTTACAAAGGATACGAGATAAATGAGAATACATTTTACACGATCGCCCAAGATCAAAAGAGCACCAACCAAAACAGCGGTGTCCGCTTTGATGCAGCAACAGAGAGCGGAAAGGACACATATTATGGTTACATAGTGGACATATGGGAACTTGACTACGGACCTGATTTTAAGGTCCCTTTGTTTAAGTGCAAATGGGTCAATCTGTTAGGCGGCGGGGTACAGGTAGACCCACAGTACGGAATGACAACAGT